CACCTGCCACCCTGGCCAAGTTACCATAAAGCAGTATCAAGCTGGCTGGGCCTCAGCAGGCCCTTTGTCCCCACTGGTGATATGCCTGAGAACTTCTCCCCAGATCAAAGGGCAGCCTGATTTCCAGAGGAGACTCAAGCTGTCCCCCTGCTTGAGGACCTCTGACCTTCTCTATCATGCCTGACAAATCCTCTGTTGTGTGTGTTGGGACAGAGGAGACAACATGTGACAGGCTCTGAGGGTGCCTGGCTAAATTAATTACCAAACACTTAGATGAATCGGGCCTGGCACATTGGTTAGGGAGGCCCACAGAAATAAAAAGAATTCTCCAATCTCAGGGGCTTAGCACAGTAAAAGTATTTCTTTTTCTTTTCCTTTCTTTCTTTTTTGTACTGGGAATTGAACCCAGAGGCGCTTAATCGCTGAGCCACATCCCCAGCTCCTTTTTATATTTTAGTTAGAGACAGGGTCTCACTGTGTTGCTTAGGACTTAGCTCAGTTCCTGAGGCTGGCTTTGAACTTATGATCCTCCTGCCTCAGCCTCCTCAGCCGCTGGGATTACAGGCATGTGCCTCCGTACCTAGCAAAAGTATCTCTTTTTGTACACACAAAGTCCAGTGTGGCTCTTTCTGTTTGGGTGGCCTTCCTCTGAGATCAGAACTCCTTATTCCTATCATGTACTACTGTTGTCTTCAACGTGGAGGCCTCGAGGCTTGTGTGAAGGAGAGTTCTTTCTCCCCTTCCCTCTATTTCCCATCCTGGAAATCAATAGCCACCTTGTTATGGTCATCATTTCTTTGCTCAAATTGTTGTCCCCACCCATTTGAGTATCCTCTGCCAGTACCCTGGCACGTGGGTGGAGATGGCTGGGTCTAGTGTCCAAGAGCTCATCTCCGTTACTACAGCAGCTGTCTGCCATGCTGCCCCCAGTGAATCCAGCTTCCAGTATTCACACCCTTAGATGGAGTGTGAACTGGACCAAGTGAGTCACACCTAACCAACCGACCAAGGCACAATCCATGGCTAGTGACTCAGAGACTAGGTCGTAAAAGGCAGGATGGCCTTTCTCTCTTTCCACTCACTTGCTCTGGGAGAAGCTATGTCATTGGCAGCCCCATGGAGAGGAACAGAGCCCCCTGCCCTCAGCCATGTGAGTGAGCTTGGAGGTGGACCCTCCAGCCCTGAGCAAGGCCTCACAGACTGCAGGCCTAGTGGACAGCCTGGTTGCTGCTTGTGAGAACCCTGAGTGGAACCACCAGCTAAGCCACTCCCAGATCTCTGTGAACAACTGTGAGACCTGTTGTTTATAGCAGGTAAGTTTTGAAACGATTTATTATATACAGCTATAGCTAATGAATTTAGTTATCTCTGATGGCAAAGCCCTTGCTCTTTCTCCCTCATCCCTGCCCCAGGCCCAGCATGTACTGGATTGAGAAAAAGGAAGACAATGGATTTCTTCAGCCAATCCCCATTTCCTGGGGATTCTGCGCTGCGTCAGGTCCTGTGGGGAGTGGGGCGGGGGACTGAAGGCAGCAAGGCTATGGCCTTGGTTCTCATGGGTCCTCATCCACTGGGAGACAGAGAAGTCCACTCACACACTAGTGACCATGGTCCTTCTATCCCCAAAGCCCATAAGAAGGTACCAGCTCTGATTCAAAGAACAGGGCAACTTGAGGTGTGTGGGGTGGGCTGAGACTTGACAAAGAAGGTAACCTGAGGGACATGGAACATTGACCAGGTCAAGAATTCAGAAGAAAGGGAGGAGTGTGCCCAAGCCCAGCAAATGTGGGCGCTGTGTGCACCCAGAGCACAGTGAAGGGTCAGGGGTGGTAGGTGGCAGGGACAAGGCCCAGGTGAGGCTGGCTAGGTCTAGGGCAGATGATAAAGGGCCTGGAATGCCACCCTGAGCAGGAGTTTAGGCACTATCCCCAGCATTAAGAGTGTCTTATAAAGTTTGGTTTTGTTTGAGAGGAAACAGGTGCTGTTTGAGGCTAGGCAGGTGGAAGTGACCACAGGCAGAGGTAGCTGTGCATAGTGCTTCCCAGGGTACTTAGTGTTATGGCAGAGGAAGGGAAGCTCTAGGGAAGACAGAGGAAACCCCTCTTCATCAGGGACTTAGAGAAGACTCCCTTGAATAGATGAAATCAGTGTGATGATAAGGAGGAATTCCCCAGGCAAGGCAGAAGTGATGGGGTGGGAGAAGATGGCATTCCAGGTTAACGGAACAGTGTGAGCTAAAGCCAGGAGTGGAAATGGTACATGGGCCTGAAAATAATTCAGTGTGATGGGAGCCTAGGGATAAGGAAGAGAGAGAGACACGGATGAAGGAAATTGGGCCAGATGGTGGGGAATGACCAATGGTAGGCTAAAAGGCTTAGGCTTCAGGTGGACATCTTCTGTCTTCCATTGATCCCTCTAGTCTACTCTCCGCCTGGCTCTGGACTGCAGCCACAGGTCCTCCTTCCCTCTAGCTTCCAGTTGGGTTCAGGCAATGGGGAACTTGGCAGGAGATAGGATAGAGGGAAGAGTGGGGTGGGCTCTGGGGAAGACAGTGAGGTGCATGTTCTTGGCTCCTTCCCTGCAGGGTCACCAAAAACTGCTTGTGCTCCTTGAGCAAGGATGGCACATGGGCATGACCTCTCTAAATTGAGATGCCTGCTGTGTTTGTCCTTCCAGGCCTCAGGGCAGTAACAGTGCCCCACCACCATGGCCCTGACTTATGTCACCATTCTCAGGAAATTCTTTCTTAATGACACCCTCCTCAAATTATCTTCTGGTTCTTGCTGACATGGGACTGGTACAAACCTTAGCCTAGCAGCGGTGGGGAGCCACAGGACTTCGAGCAGGGAAACAATGTGGCTGACTTTTAATAGGGACTAAGACTCTCCAACTTTTGCCTGCAAATGTCCAATAGGTAACAGGATTTAAAAATTGGTCTGTAATTCCAGAGGCTCAGGAGGCTGAGGCAGGAGGATCACATGTTCAAAGCCAGCCTCAGCAACTTTGCAAGGCCCTAAAGAAATCAGCAAGACCCTGTCTCTAAATAAAATATATTTTAAAAAGAGCTGGGGAATGTGGCTCAGTGGTTAAATGCACTAGGGTTCAATTCCTGGTACAAAAAAAAAAAAAAGTTGGCATCTCTGTCTCCATTTTGCATCAGTCTCCTTTGTTCAAAACTGCTTTGGATTCCAGAACAACAGGTCTAATTGATAAATATCTTGTGAGAAGTCAAACCACCTCCAGGCAACAGCAACTTTCTTATCTCCGACAAGGCCCCACCTGGCCAATCCTGAGGTAATGATCAACTAAAGCCCAGTTTGACTAAGTCTAGTCTCCTTGTTTATGTAATCTGGAGCTCATGTCAGTACCTTGAAGACAGGGCTGAGACACTTGCTCTCACTTTGCTTTGCCCAAAGAGCCATGATTAAAGTTCCTTTCCCGCTTTTCACTGTTACTTTTTCTGTTTCATTTTGGGACAAGTAACTGGACCTGATTTGTTGGGACCTCCAGGGTTTCACCTCTGGCCTGGGACTCCAGTGCCAAGATTTGTGTTTTTGAAAGCCCACCGTGGCTGTGCATGTGGGTGGGTGGGGGACAGAGAGATGGAGACAGGGCAGAGAGGCAAGGTTGAGCTGGGGCTGTTGGCTTTATCGAGGCCAGATGGGGAATGGGAGAGAGACAGAGTTGGGGATGGGGGAGGACACTTTTAAATTTTTGGTCAATTGCAAAGATGGCCTGTAGAACCCTCTCTGTGTCCCTGCCTTTCGTACTGTGACATTGCAGCACCTCCCATCCCGAAGCGGAGCCTATTCCTCGCCCCTGGTCTCCTGCCTTGCTCCCACCAATGGACCAGTGGAAGCGACTCTGCAAGTTGTGTGGCCCAGGGCTTGAGTCCTCGCAGCTGTGGCTGTCATTTTTTTGGAATCCAGCCACTCTCAAATCCTCAAAGACCAGTCAGGATAGAGACAGGCCAATGTCCCCCACATGCAAAGAGAGGCCCTGCTGTCTCAGCACCCTAGCTGTCCCAGCTCCCTCTGACCCACTGGCTGAATGCAACATGGCGGCCCAAGAAAGACCCAAGAAACCCCCAAATTCTGCAAACCCACAGAATTGTGAGAAATAATGAATCCTTGCAGTCTTCAGGCAGTACTTTTGGAAGTGGTTCACGACCCAGCAGCAGGCCACTGTGTATCTCCTTTGAGACTCTTGCCCTTCCTTCCAGGCCTGGCTCATGGCCACTTTCTCCAAGGCTTTCCCTGGGCTGGAAGTCATCACTCCCTTCTGCTCCTTATTCCCAATACTATTGTGACCCATATGACAAATAGCATGGTACCAGGCCCCTTCATGAGACCCTGGAGTCACCTGACTGCTGCATGGCATGTATAGTGCATCATTCCATAAGGACATGAAGTGGCTCATTGACTTGGGAACCACAGCAATGGAGGGAGATGTAGTCTTTATTTGTCAGATGACAAATTTGAGGCTTGGATGTGATTTTTCTCAGGGTCTCTGAAAGTAGATGGGACCAGATTGGAACCCAAATTACACTTCTCCAAATGTCCGCTCCCAGGTTACAGGGATCTGCTCTTGGAGGGAAGGGTCTGCTTCTTCGCTAGAGGGGAGGGGGCCTCATGCCTCCTGGCCACCCTCCTGATGCATGTCCCTGACCCAGGAATCCAGAATTCTCCTGGTCAGGACATCACTCTCCCCCAGACACATGCAGTCTCACACACCCCACACCTGGTTTTTGTTCTCTGAGTCAGCTGGCCATAGACATCTAGTTTTCCCCTATTTCCTAAAAGAATAGGACCAGAGGTGATTAACTTAGGTGATGAGTCAGGAAAGAACATGGTCTTCTGTGGACCAGAGTAATCCAGGTCTTGGGAAGATGGGTCAGGGCCACAGGGCCACAGGGCCTAGCTGAGGGTCAAAAGCTTTGACCTGTGTCCTTGATGAGGGTAGGTGCAGGGGCAGGCAGGAATGAAAAAAAGCAGGGGGGCTAAAATAGAATGCTTTAGTTTATTGAACTGACATTTGTTGGGTCCCTCCTTTTGTGCCAAGGTCTGAAGTTACAAAGAATGAGCAAGAGGAGTCCTCCTGGAGTTCTCAAATTATGCGATGTCAAAACCGAGACTCAAAGGTCTTATTTGGGGAAACTGAGGCTCAGAGGGCGGGGGGAGGAGAGGCCTGCCCCCAGTCACAGTCAGTCAGTGACGGTGGAATTCTCTTTGCCCATATTCCAATAACCTCTGGCTGCCACTCCACAGCTCAGAGGGTCCAGAAACTTGAAGGTGCATTGGGTGAGTGCAGGGACTCACTGCTCACCACCTTCTCTCCAGCTGGGGGAGGGAGGGACATCCAGGGTGTGATACAAGGGGGCAGATAGGGGAAAGGGCTGGAGCTGGGAGCTTCTTTTGTGCTGTTACTCAAGCGTAGAGGAAGAAAAGCCTCGTTACTCTTTTTCCCTACATGCTCTTTTGTAGTCTTTGAGTGACATTACAGGAGAGGACAGAGCCCTCAGGAGTCATTTTCTTCCAGTTCTCTCTCACGTTTCATAGATGAGCATCCAGAGGCCAAGGAGAGGGAGACTGGCAGAGCTTTGGCTGTAGAAGTGCAAATCACAGATTTCAGTCTGGTCTCCTCTTCCACGTTGCCAGCTGTGGTTGGACTTGTAGAAGCCTGGGGAAGCTCTGGAGATGTGTTCAAAACACATGCAGGATGCCTCCTCAGGTTCCAGCACTCTGGCTGGGCTCCCAAATGCTGGTTTGCCCTGGGAGCAACCTCCCTCCTGGCTGGAGGTGTTCAACAGAACTCCAAGTGTTGGTCAGCAGGGATGTTGAACTTGGACTTGTGGGCCTCAAAGAGGTTGCATAGCTCATTGATATAGCGCTGGTGGAGCTGGTCCACCTCCTCCTCTGAGGGCCTCAGTATCTTCCGCACCTCGATGGGCTTTCCCACTGCAAGACACACAGGTGGGCAGAGGAGCAGAGTGGGAACCACTGGGGTGGCAGAAGCCCTTGGAGCAGGTGCCCAGCCCCACTGCCATGCTGCAGGAAAGTGCCTTCAGCTACCCCTTCCAAACCCAACTTCAGGAAATGGATTCTAGGTGGTAGGGCAACTCTAACATTCTGATAAAATCTATCAACAGACAGGTGTCAATGTGCCAGGAAATGTGCTAGGTGCTCTACATGTGTTCTTCCCTTTAATCCTATGGGAACAAAACCTATCAATATTCCTATTTAACAGGTGAGGCATTGAGGCTCTGAGAAGTTAACTAACTTGTTCAAGGTCACATAGCTAGGAAGAGACAGTACCAGGTTTTAAGTCCTGGGTGTGTGCTCTTCCCTTCTAGGCTATATGATTCTGGGAGCCCAGGATGCTACAGTCAGAAGTGCCGTATTGCTGGGATAAGGGGTTCACAGCCCAGGCAGCTTTTCTTCCCTTACTGCCCCACAAACTGACCTGCACTTCACTCCTTATTACAGGGAAGAATCAGGAAGGCTATTAACTAGCCCCCTTCCTCTGGTTCTGTCTGGCTGAGAAAGCAGCTCCCCAACCTTCTCCACTTAGCAATAGCTCTGAAGGCAGCAGAAGTATTAAAATTTATGAAAACACTGCCACACAACAGAGAAAGGTTCAAAATATAGGGATTTACCAAATCTGCACAACTAACAAATGATGGATAGAGATGAGATGAATGGATCTCTCTATACATTTTGTCAGAGGAACCTACTTGGAATCCAAGAAGAAAACCAAAAGTGTCCAGATAGCTGAAAAGATGGTGTTAAGTCTATGCATTAAATTTCATGTCCATTTCTTGCAGGAAGATACCTTAGGCTCTAATTCAGAGCCTATTGATTTTTACTTTGTGCAAAATTTTAGCATACGCAGAGTGCCCTTCCCCAGTATCTATCTTTTCAAATAAGCTTCATCAGATCCTCTGAGTCAGAATTAAACCCTCCTGATTCAAACTTCAACTTTGTTACTCAAAACTCTGACCCTCAGTTTATCATCAGTGAAATACATAATAACCCTGCCTCAAAGGATGTTAGAATAATTTGGGCTGCTGCACAGAAGGCAGCCGCTAGTGCCGGGTACACAGCAGGTGCTCAGCAACCAGTAGTGACTGTTCTTTGTGTCTGTGTCACAGCCCTTATCTAAGACTGCCTTATATTAGGGCCATCTGCCAGTCTCTGTGCCTCCCAATCTAGAATGTGAGCCCCATGAGGGAAGGGATGGACCTGGCCCACCTCCATGTGCCCTGGCACCACATAGCCCAGGTCCCTGTTCCTGTAACCTCCCTCTCGCAGACTGGCTCTGGGCTTACCGATGGTGGTGATGGGCTGGCGGTAGGGCAGGAAACCAAAGCTGTACTGGAAGATGCCGCGGCCATGGAAGAGGGGGAGGGAGATGCCCATGATCTTCTGCAGCCGATTCTGGACTCGGCGCAAACAGGAGCCAGAAGAGTTCTGCACCTGGTCAAATAGGTTATTCTCCCCAAAGGAGAAGATCGGCACTAGAGCTGCCCTGGAGGGAAACAGAAGAGGCCTGTGGGAGGAGGCTCCAGAAAAAACAGGAGTGGGAAGTTCACTGGGCTTCTTGCAGGGACTCCATGACCAAGAGCGGGAGCAGAGGAGCCAGCCTTGGACTAGAAGTAGGAGGCTTGGATCGCCTCCTAGACCTGCCATGGCTCCCTCTCTGACCTCGGTTGCTCCGTGACATGTGGACAGAGTGCTGCAGAGAGTCCTCCCAGACAGAAAACACCTGCATTCTCTCCTAGAAAACTCTCCCCACGCCAGTTGGCTCCTTTCCTCCCAGAAGCTTCACCCAAGGTGGGAGAATGTCTCTTCCATATGCTCCTATCCCCATTCTTTCAGATCCCATAGGTCTCAGCTCTCCTGCCAGCGTTGGGGAAGATGTCCACTCCCACCTTGAACTATGTCCATCAGCCATCGAATTTCTCTGGAAAAATGGAAACTTTTCCAGGAATTTGGGCATGAATCATTAAAAAGATAATCTTCATTGTGAATGAACTGAGAAGCTCTCTGCTAAAATAGAATCTGGTTAGTCTTTCTTGCCTCCCCACCAAAATATCATCCTTGTCAACTTCAGATTGAACTGAGTGCAGTCCCCAGAGCCCCATCCATACCCATGAATCAGGGCCTGCCTGACAAAGCCCTTGCGATTCCGCAGTAGCAGCGTGAAGGCCCCGGGCCTGGCATCCAGTGCCTCCTGGGAGCCCCCCACAATGATGGCCAGCAGGTTCCCGTTGCCCTTCTTGTTCAGAATGTAAGCAGCGCTCTCCTTATCTGATGTGACCAGCCCTGGGGAGAGAGGAAGGTGGTCAGGTGTGTGGTGAGGGGACAGGGACTGTGAGGGGGGGGGGTGTGCCCAAGAGAAAGACCACCAGCAGTGCCCACAGAGGCCTGGGATCCAGCTGGGAGTCCCCTGAGTCCTCTCCTTCTTCCCAACCTCCTCACTGGGCTCAGTGATCAGCATAGCACTGCAGAAAGTTCCTTTGGGTCTAGCCACCTTCTCCTCCTGTGCATGTTTTTAGAAGAAATACAGAACTTTTGGAAGCCCTCCCTAAAGTCCCCCCACCCGAAACACCAATCTTATGTTCCTGAGCTACCTGGAGCAGGAAGACTCACCCCCAGACATGATGTAATCTCGGAAGAAGGGGGCCCGGAACCACAGGTTCAGCATCATCAGATGGGGGCGGATGCCCGGGAAGAGCGAGGAGAAGCCCGTGCTCTCAGTGCACAGGTTGATAAAGGCTCCGGCTGCCAGGACTCCGTGGGGATGGAAGCCCGCAATGTAGTTCTTGGAGGGGTCCAGCTCAGCAGTCTTGACCAGCTGCAGGGACAGCACCCTGGTGAGTCAGAGCTGGGTCTGTTACTGATCTTGACTCTGCCACTCTAGTGTGACCTTGGGTAAGTCGATGCCCCTCTCTGAGCCTTAAGTGCTTCATTCATAAGTTGGACGCTCTGTGCTGTGGTGAGGGACCATTTCTGGTGATACCAAGGTGCTGGCTTTGGATAAACTGTTTCCTCAGGCTCCTCTTCTGTAAAAGGGGAACATTTGGCTCTGCCCCTCTCCCTTGCCTGGCTGCTGACAAGCTGTGCTATGAGGAGGGTTCCTAGAATTGCCAATCAGCCCACAGGATGTGATGTGAAGGAATCAAAGGGCCACACGGGGGCGCCACCACTCTGGAAAGCCCATGCTAACAGTACTGTGCACTTCAGACCTGGAGCTGAGCATGCGCAAGCTGTAAGAGGCGTGGATTCCTGTCAGGTTGAAAGAGCATGCAGACCCCTAGACTGGCTCTGTTCTTGACTGCCGCCCTGTACTGCACAAGTGTCTCACCCGGTGGCTCTCTCCTCTCCCCGCCACCCTGCAGGCCAGACCTTTGTTGCCCTTTGTTCTCTTCCCCTGCCAGGACAGAGGCTTGCCTTGGTGGGGCCTGTGGCATGGAGGGTGTGCCAGGGTCCACCAGACACTGAAGATGGAGAGGGAGAAAGAACTGTGTGTCCTTAGCAGCTTCTTGATGAAATAGGGCGAGGAACAAGGGGGCGGGACCTGAGCTAACAGAGGCTGTACTGGTCACCTGGATCTGCAGAGATTATTGCTGGAGGCCAAGGTTGTTAGCAATCTTGGCCTCACTCCACTGGGAACCCTGGAGCCCAACCTGGCTCTGGGAACCATTGCCATCAGGGTGGGGCCAGGCCTAGGGCAGGAGGCTCCCTGCCAGCCTGCAATTTGCACTCCCTGGGCCAGGGCAGCTCCTTCCACTCAGACTCCGCTTTGCCAGGGTCAGCGGTCTTTCTGTCACCAAGCTGAAAGGGTCAGGGATAATTCCCTGAGGATTCTCATTGCTGCCTTTGGGGCCACTGAAGCCGGGCTGCTCACCCTCAGAGCACTGGAGACAGCACTGGATCCTGTCTGCCCAGCCCAGCCAGAATAGCTCTAGATTCTTCTAGCCTTGGCTTTGACAAACACCCCCCGCCCCACCATCACCAAGATGGTCTCCCCAGACCAGGACAAACCTCTTCCCCTGGGAAGTAGGGGATTTAGTAGATATGGCAAGATAGAGACCCTGGTTTTTCTCACTGGGAAGGCACTTGTTCTAGAACCCATTGAAACACTTCCTTAGAAGTTCCATTTCTGATAGTGGGAAGAAATTTTGTACCTCCATAAAGGCAATTTGACAATATCTATCAAACCCAAAAAACAAAAACAAAAACAAAACACAAACAAACAAAAACCCAGTGCAGTTGCACATGCCTATAACAAGCATCTCAGGAGACTCACGAATTGAAAACCAGCCTCATCAACTTTGAGAGGCCCTAAGCAACTCACTGAGACCCTGTCTCTAAATTTAAAAAGGGGGATGAGGGGCTGGGGATATGACTCAGTGGTTGAGTGCCCCTGGATTCAATCCCTATACAAAAAATATATAAAAGAAAGCATTTGTGCATAGAGAAAAACCTTGCAAAGGTAGGGACCTGTGTCCAGGCGAGTAGGCCAATATTTGCATGTGTATCTACATGTGTCCACGTGTGTGCACTGTGAAGCCATCATAGTCCCAATGAGGCCTAATCTGTACCTCCCCCAGACGTGGTCTCTACTTTATCTTTCTGTGCTAGCCCCTTCTACATGACTCTTGACCCCAAGTCTACCTGGCCCTCACTGAAGATCATAGATCACTGTGTCCAAGGTGTGTCCCCAGTGCTGGTCTGGGACAAAGGAGATGCTCTGGAAAGTGTGGAAGGAAGGTGGGAATGAAGGAGCCAAGAAGATGAGACTGAAATATCCCACCTCAGAAGGAGGGGCCCTGACTCGAATCCTGTCCCAGCAGGTCACCTGCATCCCACTAGCATGGAGTCAGGAGAACCCTGAGCAGGGAGTCAGGAGACTGGATTTTACCACTGGCTCATCCCTGGGACCTTTGCCAGGCTCTGGCCCCCTCAGTGCCTCAGTTATCCTCTTCCACAGGACAATGATGACACTTCAGGTTTACTACAGGGTTCAGAGAGATAAATAAAGATAAATAAAGAGGAGGAGGCAGTTGGTGAAGAGTTGTGGTTTGTCTTGCTTCCTCCATTCTGTTGGGGGAATATTGATTGTGACTGAGCAAGATGGTGGGGGTCTGGGGATACCCTGGCTACATGCCCTGAGGCTGGGTGTGGTACACTGGGCAGTGGGTCTAGAAAAGGGCACAGCCAGCTTCCTAAGCTTTGAAGTTTGCTATTTTTTTTAAAGAGAGAGAGAGAGAGAGAGAGAGAGAGAGAGAGAGAATTTTTTAATATTTACTTTTTTAAAAGTTTTCGGTGGACACAGCATCTTTATTTTATTTTTATGTGGTGCTAAGGATCGAACCCAGCGCCCCGCGCATGCCAGGCAAGCACGCTACCACTTGAGCCACATCCCCAGCCCAACTATTTTTTATTGATTTCATTTATATACAATAATATTCATCCCATTAAAATATACAGTTCAATGCACTTTTTTTTTTTGGTACTGGGAATAGAACTCAGCAGTGTTCTACCACTGAGCTACATCCCCAGTGCCCCCTTTTTAAAACTTTTTAAAAATTTGAGGCAGGGCCTTGCTAAGTGGTCTAGACTGACCTCAAACTTGGTATCCTCCTGCCTCAGCCTCAGGAATAGCTGGGATTACAGGTGTACACCACCACTCTCAACTCAATGCAATTTTATAAGATTGTGTAAGCATTACCACTACTTCCAGATCATTCTCAACACCCCAGAAAGAAACCCATACCCATTAGGAGTCATTTTCCCTCTCCCCGGGGCCCTAGCACTGCTAATCTGCTCTCTACCTCTCTGAGTTTACCTGTTCGGGAAACCTCATACAGATGGAATCTTACAACAGGTGGACTTTGAACTTGGCTTCTTTCTCTTGGTGTCATGTTTTCTAGGTCTATCCATGTTGTAGCATGTATCAGAACTCCTTTCACATTTGACTGGATGACATTCCATTGCATGGCTAGAGCACATGTTTGTCCATTTGTCAGTTGATGGACAGTTGAGTTTCTACCCTTTGAAGCCAACCCCAGTAAAAGTGAACTCTCACTAAGCACCTCAGTGAGACCCTGTCTCTGAATAAAATACAAAAGAGGGCTGGGGTGCCCTTGAGTTCAATCCCAGGAACAACAAAAAAAAAAGCAAGCACCCGTGCTGCTGGCTTGTTTAACACCCACTAAGACCACAGGAAGGCTGGCTGTGCTGTGATAGCCCTACTTCTCAGTTAAGCAAGCTGAGAGGTTTGCTGAGGGATTAAGTGACCTGCACAAAGCCACACAGGTGACTGGGATCTGAATTCTGCCATCTATACAGAGAACACAAAGAGGCAGGAAGCCTTTATTCCAGACCCAGGGAGACAACTGGCACTGAGGACTGACTTTGGAACTATCTGCTCAAACTTGATAGAGTCGACCATGGGGCTCATTGACCCAAGGAGGCCTACTCAGGCTAGGCAAGCTGGCTCATGACTGGTTTGGGATTTTTCAAGACTCCAGCCTCGCTCTCCTGGGAGAGGTGATTCCTGCATCAGCAGCCCACCTCTCACTCCTCTAGGGCCCCAGAGGGAAGAGCCTGTTCAGGGCCTACTTATGTACCCCCATTATTTGGCATCAGCAGGGTGGGGGACACTCCAATAAGGCACCAGAACAAGTGGTACAGCTCATGCCTGCCGGACTGGAATGACAAAGGGGAAAGGAGAAGCAGGTAAGGGCTCAGAGTGCAAGTACTAGCAGGCTGCAGAAAAAATAGGTTTTATTCTAAGTAAGAGGTAGTGTGGAGGATGAACTCCAGGGGGCGCCAGAGGACATGGAACCTAGACAAATAGATAGCTGTGGTCAGGACTGTGGGTAGAGGGGAGGAGGGAAGAGTCAGAACAGGAGTGTAGGACCCAGACCCCATGCTCTAGATCAGTGGTTCTCAGCTAAGGTGAGTTTGCCACCTCCTGCTCTCTTGATGTGGACATCTGGTAATGTCTGCAGACAGTTTGGGTTTTACCATTGGGAGAGGGTAGTACTTCTGGCATTGAGTGGGTAGATGCCAGGGATAGGAACAGTCCCCCCGACACACACACACAAATTATCCAATCCAAATGTTGATGCTGTTGGGGTTGAGCAAGCCTCCCAGAGATCTACCTGGCTGGGAGAGGAAGGGGACAGTGTAGGAGGCCCAGTTCCCTGCAGGGCAGCCCTAGGGCTGGGGAACCGCTATGCCCCATGCTAGTTCCCCTTGCCCTGGACTCCTGGGAGAACACTGGAGCCAGACCCAGCTTCCTGTGAAGAAACACCTCCTTACAGGCATCTCAGTGAAGCCAGCGTTCAAAAAAGACAGTCAATATTGATAATAAATAATTAGGTCCGATCGGGAAGGTGGGGTCTGGTTGGAAAATAAATCAAATGTTGCCGTTTCCCCCTCCCCCTTCTCCTGTAAGCTAGAGTTCCTGTTATGTGAAAGGCGGCTACCTGAGCCCCACTGTCTCAGGTGAACAGACCCCAGTGTACCAAGATGTGGCAGACAGGAAGGAGAGGCCACTAAGTCCTTAGTAATGCCTGGTGGGCTACAGGGGAACTAAGGGCTTGTCCCAGGTATGGGTATGGGTGGGGAGTTGTCCTACACTGTCCCCAGCCTGGTTCGGATCATGACCAGCAAGCACATTGTGGGCAGTATTTCATGACCCTAGGTCATAGCCCTGGCCACAGAACTTGGTCCCTCCCAAGGCCTTGGCCTGTCTAGACTATTTACTCTGGGTGATGAAACATTCACAGTGGGGGACACCCAGCTCCTGGGCCAGTCTTGGCATGAGGTGGGGACAGCTACATGAATGGCCTGACTCCTACATGAATGGCCTGACTCTCCTGCATTGTCTCTGTAGAAAGCCAACAGGATGACTTCGGAAAGCTTCAAGGCCAAGGCACAGTTTTCTAATTTTGCCTGAAAGTTCATCACTAGAGGCTAGTTCATAAAAACACAGGGAGAACTGACAGAAGCTGAGAGATCGTGGAAGGACCTCACATTCCACAAGAGAGTGAGGAGGCTTGTGAATGCAGGGAGAGCTCAGTAGAGCCAGGACAGCCTGCCTTTTGCTCACTCCAGGGTCTCTGCAGGGCCTTGCTGCCCAGGTGTGCAGAAAGAAGGGGGAGTCTGCAGCTCTCAGCCTAGGAGCCACAAAACAGAAATGAACAGCATCTCTCCCTCTGCTGGCCACTCATGGTACTGCAGCAAATGGCCTTCAGTGTGCAACAAGCCTGAAAAACTGTGCACATAGAATTTCTGCAAATCAAGTCCATCCAGTGCTGATAGTAGTGAGGTTGAGAAACCCTCCTTGAGAGCCACCAAGGAGGGAAGGAGCAAGAAAGGCAGTGGAGCTGCCTCAGCATCGCCTCTGCCAACCTGCTGCAGGAAGTACGCCAGGGACAGAGCAGCTGGACACTGTCCTTTGGAGGCCAGTAGGCTGTCAGAAGACATTCCCCATAGAACTTCCGGTTTTCCAGTTCTGCAGGGTGGCCTCTAAGACCTCTGCAGTGACCCGAGCTCCTCTCCAGCCTCCCCACAGGTTTACTCTGCTTTATTCTCCCGGAACCCCAGGCTGCTGCTCACAACCCTGAGCCTTCTGGGTCTGTGCTTGCACCACCCCCTTTGTAGGTGGCCTTTCTTTTCATGGTGTGAGGATCCAGCACACATGGGACGAGAGGCCAGGGTCAGGACCTGCAAAGCTCAACTAGGGGCTAGAACCTGCTGCAGGTGGCCTGATGTCACCTACACCTCCCCAGGCTACAGGTCACACTTCCCCAGGAGAGCTCTGAACTTCCTGGTTCAAAAGAAGGAGCCTGGGCCTGGAGAAGGGAGTTCAGAGCCTCAGAGCTCAGAAGTCCTGGGGAAGGGATGGGGATTCCGCCCACAAAATACCCATGGCTGCTCTCCAGACCCCATAAGCCTTGCTTGTCTTTGTTGACAAGATCCTGGGAGGGGGCCCTGCAGAGGAAGCACAACTAAGGGGTGGAGAAGATTGCCTTCCACCTGGGTCCCCCTTCGCTAGCCCACATGTTCTGCCCTTTGACTCCTGTGGCCCCCATGGGCATGGCAGCCTCTGCCAGCCCACTTCAGCTCAGCCCTACCCACGCTGACCCTATACCTTACAGGCCCTGCTCCCTGTTGTAGCCCAGCCCTTTCTAGCTCCAGGGGACCTCAGGAATCTCAAATCCCTGACTTTGAGTTCCCATGACTTTGGCAAGCTATTCAGCCTCTGCAGGCCTATTTCCTCCACCTCCCCTCTTTTGCTACCTGGAGATCTAATTCCTGGAGGGGCAGGAAGTGGTGGGGCTCCTGGATGGGGTGGAGAAGCCAGGCAGGTATGAAGGTCAGAGCCCCAAGACTCTAGGTTCTCAGAGTCCCTTGGACCTGAAGCCATGCCCAGGTCTCCTCAGAATCCCGCTGAGTCTTGAGGTTCTGAGAACCTATGAGAGCTGTCCCGCCTGATCTCATGGAATCCACAAGGCCCAGTATATGACATCATCTCCATTTTACATATGCAGAAAGTGAGGCTCTGAGAAAATGTGTAACTCACCCAATGTCACACATCTGCTATGTGGCAGACCTGGGATTAGAATCTAGTCCAACCAACTCTAAAGACCACACTCCACACCTACCTTCTCTCCTGTTTTCAGGCCAATTAGCCCTGCCTACCCTCCTGTGTCCCCACTGCCTTCCTCCATCCTATCCCATCTGTTCAATAAATCGTCTCTGCCTGGCTGCGTAGAACACAAGTTTAGTTTTTCTGGGCTCAGTTGAAGGAACCTACAGGTCTTTTCAGATCCAGAGATCTGGTCCACTCAGGGCCAATCTTCAAGTCCAGGGACAAGTGTTCACAATCACTGTGAGGTGTCATGAACCAGAGAGAGAGAGAGAGAGAGAGAGAGAGAGAGAGAGAGAGAGAGAGAGAAAGAGAAAGAGAGAGAGAGAGGAAGGCACTCAGAGCAGGAAGATCAGTTGGCTTACTGGATCAATGGGAAACCAAGGCTCAGAGTGGGACAAGGCCTTGTCCAAGGACACACAGCTTGGCAGAAATAGGAGCAGGTTAGAACCTGAGGACCGTTCAGGGCTCTCTTCCTGATACCCTTCCTCATCCATACCAATGCAAAGCTTTAAAATTTGTTGACAACTGACTGACCGACCTTGGTCACACCGGTGTCCTTCTCTGGTTGGCAGAGTATGACTGTAGGGCTAGCTGGTCTCTTAAGACCCATAGTTTGTTAACTTTATTTTAAACTGGGCTGCTGATAGGATTGCTCCCTGAAGGTCCACATGAGGGACACAGTACATGTCCCATAGAGCTCCTTCAAGTCCTGTATGTTCATCAACCTCACGCTGGCCCCACGTCCGTGTAAATGGAAAGCCATAGCTAGAGAGGAGCTGGTCTCTTCTCCAGGTCTCTGGGTGGCGGGGGACCCAGGCCTGAGCCTTCCGGTCCAGCATCCTGAACAACGCACACAGGGCTGCACTGCCCCACAGAGACGTAAGGCACTGGGGCTCTGACCCCACTCAGCCAGCTTCTCCCCCCATCCCCCCCAAAGCAGCCCCAGGACTCACCGAGACGGGGAAATAGTCCTTCATGTGCTTCCATATGACCCAGCGCCTGAAGGTCTGGATGGGCCTGCCGCCCCGCCACGGCTTGTCCCAGTCCAGGTACCACCAGGTGGCATACAGGACGGTGAGGAGCCAGAACCTTGTGAAGAGGAGGCCTATGAAGATGACCACACAGACCTGGGCTGGGAAGGGAAGCAGGAGCCATCAGGGGTCTGCGAGGAAGGCAGGTGAGACACCCAGGCTGAGCCCTGCTGCCCCAGGCGGCCTGACCCCTGCCGTCTCCCTGGTGCTCAAAAAATGGGAGCCGCTGATTGCAACAAGGGTTCTAGTTTCTATGTTTGAGGATCCCATAGAAAAAGGAGCCCCCTTTCTGCCAATTCCCCCTTCTGTTCACCCTCTACTTCATCTTTCCAAAGGTAAGTGTGTTGGGGTCCCTCGCTTCTCTTATGAAAGGGCCCTCCTGTGGCTTCCGCACAACTTCAGGGCACAGCCCAAGCAGCTCAGCCTGGCATCAGGCTCCCAGGAGCTGGCCCCGTCTCCTCCTGCTCTTCCCTCCCCTCTCCCAATACGCAGTTCCAACGCTTGCTCTTCCTCAACCCACCAAGCTCCATTGACCTCGCCTCCAAAGCCCTTGGCGAGGAGTGGGGAGGCAGGAAGAGGCCAACCCCTGACTGCCCTGTGCGTACAGCAGGGCCAGGACCAGGCCCAGCATGGAAACCCTCTGATCTGCAGTTCCCCATCCCTGGCTGCAAGCTAAACCTGGCTTCACCTCAGGGTCAGGAGGTCTTTAGGACCACCCCTCATCTGACGCCCATGAAGCATCATTCCCAGAGAATATCACTCCCTCTGCATTCCATTTTCTCCACACACTCATCTCCTCCTCTTTCTTCTCTCTGGCAGGGCTTGAGTTGGAACTCTGAGTCTCATGCACACCAGGCCAGTGCTCTGCCACTGAGCCTCAGCCTCAGTCCCTACACTGTTCTTAAAGGAGGCCAGCTTCTGGTTGTGTGACTCCTCTTGGAAGTAGGGTGGACTGGGCCTGCCCCTCCTGCCAGACTTCCTGGAGGAAGGGACTCTTGAGCCAGTTTGAACAGTAGGAAAAGTTTGGTAGCCAGCAGATACAGACAACAAATATTCACTCTGCATGGAGCACCTACAAAGTGCCAGGTGCTGGGGTCCAGCTGTGAGCAACGGATGACTTCTGGCCGTCACAAAGCTGACTTTCTAGAATTGTGTTTGGGGCACTTTGAATACGTGTTTTCCTTTAAATTTTTTTTTTTTCTCTAGTAACACACATGACATGAATTACCATCTGAACAATTCAGTGGCATTAAGGACCTTCATACCCTGTGCAGCCAGTACCACTATCAATCACAGAACTTATTTATCATCCCAGTAGACACTCCCACTGCCCCTCCCTCCAGACCCAAGCAACCAGCCTTCTATTCTCTGAAATGTTGACTACGCTGGGTACTTCACATAAGTAAGATCCTACAGCGTTTGGCTTTTGTGACTGGCTTATTTTATTTGGCGTAATGTTTGCAGTTCATTCAAGTTGTGGATGTGTCTCAATCTCCTTTCTTTTTAAGGCTGAATAATATTCTATTTTGTTTATTCGTTTATCTGCTCATGGACATAGGGTTGCTTCCACATTTGCTCTTTGTTTTCAAACACTATTGAATAATTCGCTAGTCTGTAATCCCAAGAGGACCTGGAGTTCAAGGTCAGCCTCAGCAATTTAGAGAGGCCTTAAGTGACTCTCTGAGACCCAGTCTCTAAATAAAATACAAAATAGGGCTGGGGATGTGGCTCAATAGTGGAGTGCCCCTGAATTCAAAAAAGAAAGGAAATTGACTTAAATTGTTTTTAATTTTTACATTAAAAATATTTACTATAAAAGTAAAAATAATTTTAAACTCCCAGCTAGGATTCTTCCCTTGGGCAAAACCAAAAGTCTGTTCATGAACTTCTTTAAAAAAAGGAGCTCTGGAAAATAAAGATGAATTGTTAATAGTGGCTACCTGGAGGCAAGAGTATGGGAAGTCTTTGGGCAGGGTGTGGGTGGGGTGCTGGGGACTGAACTCAAGGGCCCTCTACTTAGATCCTCCTAGCCTCCGAGTCTCTGGGATTACAGAAGTGTGCCACCATGACTGGCTGGAAGTATTTTACTTTAAGGGCCCATGTTTTGTTTTATTATGTATTATTTTTGAAGTCAGGAGGAAAAAAGGAAAAGTTAGAAGAAAACAGGGTATCTACCCTGACCAGAATGACTCCCACCACTGCATTATGCCTCGACCATGGGCTCACCCTTTAACCCCTGTTAGGAAGCAAACCCAGTCTGTAGGTCTTTTCAGTAATTTAGGAAGGAAGACACCACCTTCTTTCACATAATCCTCACGACCTGAGGGGGAAACACTTAAAATGCCCACTTTAAGGCCTAGATGTGACAGTGGTCCACTTTATGTTTTGAGTATAGCCCTTGTTGTTCTGCCATGTGACTTTTTTTTTGGGTGGGGGAGTGGGTACCAGGGATTGAACTCAGGGGCACTGGACCACTGAGCCACATCCCCAGCCCTATTTTGTATTTTATTTAGAGACAGGATCTCACTGAGTTGCTTAGCTCCTTGCCATTGCTGAGGTTGGTTTTGAACTCATGATCCTCTTGTCTCAGCCTCTGAGCCACTGGGATTACAGGTGTGCACAACTGCACCTGGCCCGATGGACTTATTTTTAAATGACCTGTTTCTTCCTCTCCCTTTCCCCCTGCTCTTCCCTAACTGCTCCCCCTCCCTAATCTCAGGGAAACAGGATTACCTTTCTTCCCCATCCTAGGCAGAGTTATCTGTCCTTGAGCACATACCACTGAAACAAGTAACTCAGAGTTGGGGGTGGCAGCAGAAATGACTATCTCCCAAACGAACAAGTGAATGACAACTCCAAAAACAAATGTGGAATGTGACCTTTGATATACCTCTTTAAGAGACCCCTGTTCCCCTGATGGGCAGAATCACAGCCTCTGGGACAGGAGTCTCCTGTGCTTCTTCTTTGCTAGCAATGCAATGATAAAACTTCTTTTTCTCAAAACTATGTCCTTGTTATTGGATTGGCATCGGGGACAAGAACAGAGCTTTCAGTACTACAGAGAGGGTCTATAAATTGGCTAAGGTCACACAGCATACTAGTAAGGGGGGACCTGGGATTCAGTCCTGCTGCTTGGACCAGATCATGCTCCCAGCATTCCTCATTCACTCAACAGATGTTCTGGATTCGGACTCTTCATGGAGCTGTAGCCATAGCCAAGAACAGCACAGGCTGTGAAGAAACACCTTCCTTTCCCATGTAAGAGGTGGGAGTTGTGGAGGAGAGGACAGGACACAGCCAGCAAACAAGTCACCCAAGAACGCATTTGACTTGGGGCTCTGAGCCTTTGGTGAGTGGTCCTAGTTGACTTTTCCAGCCACTTCTGTGCCATTTTGCAAAATGTGTCCGTGACCTCCAGCATGAACTGTGTACAAGGTCCCTTATTCCTCCTCTGCTCTGCACAGGGGGTTCCCTGCCTGGGGGGCTTGATTTTCCTACCAGTCTTTGAAACCTTAGTGTTCTTTAAAACCTTAGTGTTCTTTAAAACTTTAAAAGCTTGGGAGAGTGAGGCAGGAGGATTGTAAATTCAAAGGCAGCCTCAGCAACTTAGCAAGACCCTGACTCTAAGTTAAAAAAATAAAATAAAATAAAAAGGGCTGGGGGCATGGCTCAGTGGTTAAGCACCCCTGGGTTCAATTCCTGGTACCAAACAAACAAAAAATAGTGGCTGCCTGAAGTGCTACCTCTGCTTGTCACCACCCCTGCTACTCTGTTCCCTCTGTTAGATCCCTTTGAGGTGATTAAGCAACCCACCCATGCGCGCCAAAGAACCGCCAATCAGGCACCCACAGAACTGCCTGTCAATCAGCAGGGTCTCCTGGCCAATCCTGGATCTTAGCCAGCTACCCCCAACCAACCCCAGTAGGACAAGGGACTCTAAAAACCCCTTTTCCTGTCCCAAGCCCTCCCTTCCTGCCCTAAGCCCAATAAAAATTCCAGCCCCATGCACTTTTACTTAGACCCACTCTGCTGGTCTGAGGGTCCCGCCAGGGAGCGAAATCTCAGTAAAGCCTCATTCAGAGCCTTTTAAAATCTGCCTCCTGTTGGTCGCTGCTGCCTGACCTTACACTCTCATCCCCCTGCTCACAGGGTGACTTCTTGGCTCCAGGCTCCACAGCCCCTCAAGAACAGTGACATTCAGGACTGAACTCCTAATCTCTCAAGCCTGCTCCTGAGTGCCCAAGTTCAGTGACGACAGCCAGCCAAACGTGGGTGAGACTGGGCATCAACTTGGCCTTCTCCCTCCACCCATCCATTCCTTCTGCTCCTGCCCAGGAGCCCATCTCCTGAATATCTCCCGACCCCAAACCTTCTCTCCACTCACTGCCACCCTTTCCAGACTTTTTCTTAAGGGTTCAGATGGCAAATATTTTAGACTTTGCAGTTTAAGGGGCAAATTGGAGGATATTATGCATGTACTTAAGCAGCTATTTTTAAATGTAGCCTTTAAAAAATATAAAGACCATTCTGAACCCTTGGACTGAACAAAACCAGGGGGCTGGATGTGGCCCATGGGCCCTGATTTGGTGACTTCTGATCTAGACAGAATGCTCCTGCTTTTGGTCCCTTCCCCACACCCCCAGCACAGCAGACACATCGACGGCAGGCATAGGGACCTTTAACACCCAGGCTGGACCTTGTCACTCCACTATCTGAAACTTCCTCAGCTCTCCTTTGCCCTCAGGTTAAGGGACAAGGCAAAACCTCCTGCTCTTGGCACAAAGGAGCCCAGATCCTTTTTTTCAGCTGTCCTCCCTCTGGCCCTCCAGGCCCAGGGCTGCTTTGACCCCTACGCTGCTCCTGACCTTCCAGGTTCCTGTGATAGTGAAGGAGCCAGGCAGGGCCACAGGGCTGCAGGGTGGGGTGGGCATGGCCAGCTGGAAACACTCTTGCCCTAAAAGATAACAGGAGGCAGGCTGGGCACCATGTCCCTCGTCTTCTGTGATCTGTTGGCTACAGTCACCTGGCACTGGGTCCCCGGAGCCCTTGGACTTGACAGCTTAGGCCTCCCTCCTTTTGCTCTCTTACCGACTGTGGCTCCCACCTCCTCCCACCCCAGCCCCTCTCCCCTCTTCTACCTCCTTAGCCCTTTCTCTGGCAGGAGGAGCCCAGGACTCTGGCTCTGCAGCCTGGGCCTGTAAGGCACTTTCTCTGCTCATCTACATAGTGGAAATAACCAAGTATGTGTAACATGTTTATCAACCCTTAGGGCAGAAACCCACGTCAATTAGAAAGGATGCTAACGTAGGGTCCAGGAGAGCCTGCCTTGCTGGGGATAAGTTCTATGGCTGTGAAACCACAAAGAAATTCTGAGGAAGTGTGGGGTGGGCACATATATTGTGTGTTAAAAGGCCGCTGACCACAATGTGTCGACATTTTAGCAGCCAGGAGAGAGCACAGGCTGAACCCTAGACCCAGGAGGAACAGTTCTTCCCTAGTCCGGTGCCAGCAGATGAAATGAAGAAACCCATTCATTCACTTCCACCTCCCAACACTGCCCCAAACTCTCCTTTTTTTTTGTACTGGGGATTGAACCCAGAGGTGCTTAATCACTGAGCCACATCCCCAGCCCTTTTATATTTTATTTAGAGACAGGGTTTCCCTGAGTTGCTTAGGGCCTCACTAAACTGCCAAGGCTGGCTTTGAACTCATGATCCTCCTGCCTCAGCCTCCCGAGCTGCTGAGATTACAGGTGTGCGCCTCAGCATCTGGCCCAAACCCTCCTTGAAAACGGTCCCTTCAGCAAAGCTGGAGTCTGGGCCACACATTGCTGCAGATGACAAAACCGAGGCCTGGAGAACCTAGTTCCTGGTTCCCCTCTCCTTCCTTACCCCAGTTCCCACTCATCCCTTCAGAAAGGAAAGAGCAGTCTGGAACTTTCCCAGCATCAACTCGATGCCTCCCACACCCTCAGCAGCCTGCAGCAGGGTCTCCTTGTGTCAAGGGGGAACGCTTGGCCAAAAACTGCTCAAAGCCACAGGCAACCCCACCCCATGGCCCAGTCTCTCTGGGCAGGGCTCCGAGGCCTCCAAGAACCTCCCACAACCAACATTCTGGGTGCAGCTGGGTGGCTGCTCCTGGTCTCCCATCTCACCCAGCCCGACTTACCCAGGGCCAAGAAGGAGAAGACCCACTGTAGGACTGCCAGTGTCTGCAGCCTGCGCTCCCAAGGCACGGACAAGGGAGCAAACTCCACCATGCTGGCCTGGCTCCCTAGGCCTCTCCACACTGCTGTGGCAAGGTGTGTACAAACCTGTGGACAGGGTGCCGTGCTCAGCTCAGCCCAGCCCAGCGCCAGGCCTCTGTCCTGCCCAGACAGGGACAGCTTCCTAGAAGGAACCTTTGAATTCATCTGCTGGGGCCTGGCTGAAGGAAGTTGTACAATTCTTATCACTGCCTTCGGCAAGGCCTTATCTGACAGGCCACCTCTGTGACTGGTTGAATCTTGCTCTTCCTGCCACTTGGCCCTTGAAGTCCCAAGTGTCATGTAATCCCCTCCCCTTCCTCCTGGTCAGTACTTAGTTCCATCTCTTGATCTCCCCTTTCTTGCCGTGTCCATCGCTCCCCCTCTAAGAACATCTGCAATAGTTCCTGTCTGAAGGCCCCGACCCCACCACCTCCTGCGCCACTTCTCTGCTCACCCAGAAAGCAAAACTCTTAGAATGACTGTGCTCCCTGCTTGCCACCTTCACCTCCTGTTGAGAGCCACAGCCGAAGGGGCCCCAGCAAACTTCCAGCTGCCAGCAAACTTCCAGCTGCCGGCTGATGATTGGCTCACAGCAGCCCCAGCAACATCTAGCTGATTGGCTCCTCGGCCCCAGCAACATCTAGCTGATTGGCTCCTCTGCAGTGATGCTCATTGGGCTGTTTCCCTGCCCTTTCAGACCACGGAGCTGCTCATTGGGGGACTTTTTTTGGCTCCGCCCACGTGACCCAGCCAATCGGCCTCAAGAGCAGGAGGATTGTGGGAGGTGGAGAGAGGCTTGTGTGGGAGAGAGAGGCTTGTGGAAAGCTGTTGGTGGCAGTTGAGGCTCTGAGGGTTTTTCCTGAGAGGCTGTTTTGTTTGGCTTGTGTGGTTCTAAAAATAAAGTTAGTTTCTTTTGACAAGTGGCTCCTGATTGTGCCCAGCCAGACTGCTCCCCTCACACGGGGAGCGACTGAGGGTAAGTGAACTGCTCGCCCCTGAGGGCAGGGCGAGAGGATGGGTAGCCATTTTAAGATTCTTCTTTTGTTATTTTGTTTCACTTTTGTTTTAAGTTGCCTGTCCCTGCAGATGTGTAAGATGGAAGAAAAACCGCTCACATCTGAGGAACAGATAGGGAGAAAGGACGGATGGACATTTCAGGAGGCTATTATAATGATTTTGTGTTGTTCCAATTTTGTTTCACTCAGTTTCAGTTTTGTTAGGCGTTATCTTGTTGGGTTGTGTTATAGTAGAAATACGGGATCAGAAATTAGTAAAAAACAAACTGAAAGAGTGTTAAGTAAATTGTTAGAGGAAGGAGGCATCTCAGTAAAATCAAGAACAATCAGGGCATACGTTGATACAATACAAAAATGTAGCCCATGGCTTTTTAAGGAGGAGTTGTTAAATATATCACAATGGAACCATCATGGTGAAGATTTAAAAAGAATAGAAAAGAAAAGCCCAGGAACTCTGCCAGTTGGCACATTGCCATTGTGGACGTTCGTATCTTGTTTGCTTAGTCCAAAGCCTTCAGTTCAGACAATGGTAGAGGAAGAAGAAGACATAATGATTCAAGTAAAAGAGAAGGTCTCTCAAGTTAGTCAGACAGAGGAAAAGATTCAAGTAAAAGAGAAGGCCTCTCAAGCTAGTCAGACAGAGAAAGAAAGTGTAAAACAGAAAAAGCCATCAGGGGGAAAGTTACAACAGGAGACTGCTACTAACACCTTTCTATCACCAGAGGGTGTAAGTGTCCAACCAACAGCACCACCTCTACAGGAGACTGCTACTAACACCTTTCTATCACCAGAGGACGTAAGTGTCCAACTAACAAGGCCACCTCCATATGCTGGGAGGTCCCCAACCCCCGCAGTTGATAGTTGGGATCCTGAGACAAGATCTCAAATATTAGCATGCCCTGTATTTGAGGCAGGAGGGCAGCGATTTTACCAAGTTTTAAATTTCAAAACAGTGAAGCAGCTAAAAGAGGCTGTAACAACCTATGGTCCTCAAGCACCCTTCACTGTAAGCATGGTCGAATCCATTAACAACTTGAACATGACGCCAGCAGATTGGGCTAATATGTGTAAAGCTGTGCTAAATGGAGGACAATACCTGTTATGGAAGGTTGCCAATGAGGAATTTTGCAAGGAGATGGCTAGGCGAAATGCAGCAGCTGGTTATCCTCAGAGAAATCTAGATATGTTGTTAGGAAAGGGACCTTATGAGGATCAGCAGCAACAAATTGCATATGATCCTGGCGTATACGCACAAATTGCTGCAGATGCAATTAAGGCATGGAAGACTTTACAAGGACATGGAGGTTTACAAGGTCAATTATCTAAGGTAATACAAGGAGCTAATGAATCTTATGCTGAATTTGTAGATAGGCTTATTCAACAGCTACCAGAGTTTTTGGGAATACAGAACAAGCAATGCCATTACTAAAACACCTGGCTTATGAGCAAGCGAATCGTTGGTGCAGAGATATCATTAGACCATGGAAACATGAAGATTTAAACACATATATTAAATTCTGTAGAGACATTAATGAACAAGAGCAAGTCGTGGCAGCTGCAGTAAAACAGGCTTTAGATGCCAGAGACATTAATGAACAAGGGCAAATTGTGGCAGCTGCAGTAAAACAGGCTTTAGATGCCAGGCCAAGAACATGCTACAATTGTGAACAAACAGGACATTTTAAAAGGAATTGCCCCATTGGAGGAGGGTTTAACAAAACTAGGTATCAAAGGAGTAGAATACCAGGTATTTGCCCACGATGCCGTAGAGGGAGACATTGGGCTAATGAATGCCTTTCTCAAACCACCATAGAGGGTACTCCATTATCAAAAAACGAACAAGGACCAGGTGTTTATCCACGATATCGTGGAGAAAGGCATCGGGCTCCATTGCCAAAAAATGGACAGGGGGGCCCAATGCTCCGGGGCCCAAAACCACAAATATACGGAGCACTGGAGGAACCCAGCAACCCCATCAGGGTAGTGCCCAGGACACATTGTCCATCAGATCCCTCATCAGACAAACCAGAGGGAGCGCAGGGTTGGACATCTGCGCCTCCGCCAGAGCAGTACTAACTCCAGAGATGGGAGTTCAAATCATTCCCACAGGGGTGAAAGGACCTCTTCCCAAAGGAACAGTAGGCTTATTATTGGGACGCAGCTATTCTACTCTAAAAGGACTTCTGATAAGTCCTGGGGTAATTGATCCCGATTATGAAGGTGAAATAAAAATTATAGCCAGTTCTCCAAAGGGTATATCAGTAATTTCACCAGGAGATAGAATAGCACAGTTACTAATAGTACCCAGCCTACATGATAAATTTTCCAGTCATACTGTAGAAAGAGGTTCCAAGGGATTAGGCTCCACAGGTGTAGATTGGGCTATGCTTTCTTTAAATTTAGATTCTCGCCCCATGCTAAAACTAAATATTCAAGGACATGAATTTAATGGACTACTGGATACAGGTGCAGACCTTAGCATCACCTCTCGCCAAGAATGGCCAAAACATTGGCCATTACAACAAGCCACTCAAACGCTTCGGGGCCTAGGAGTGGCGACTAATCCCCATAGAAGTGCAATGGTATTAGATTGGAAGGATCCTGAAGGATGTGAAGGAACTATACAGCCATATGTATTGGATCATCTTCCCGTAAATTTATGGGGACGAGATGTCCTAGATCAATTAGGTTTGACATTAACAAATAACATCAACCAAAATGCACCCACTATTATGACTAGACAAGGTTTTAGGAAAGGAAAAAGATTAGAAAAACAAGAACAAGGTATAGCAGCACCAATACAAATAGATCAAGGAACAGAAAGACATGGGTTGGATTTTCAGAAAGGGCCACTGAGACAATAAAAATTACTTGGAAATCAGAAAGACCAGTATGGGTTCCTCAGTGGCCCCTGACTAAAGAAAAGATACAAGCAGCCCATGACCTGGTCAAACAACAATTAGCGGAAGGACATATACAACCTTCTGTATCTCCCCATAATACTCCCATTTTTGTCATCAAAAAGAAATCTGGTAAATGGAGATTATTGCAAGATTTAAGAGCCATTAATAATGAGATGGTTATTATGGGACCTGCTCAATCAGGGATTCCTCAGTTGTCTGCTTTGCCAAAAACCTGGTATGTTTTAGTTATAGATATTAAAGATTGTTTTTTTTCAATTCCAATTCATCCTGAGGATAGTCCACGTTTTGCATTTACTATCCCTGCACTGAATCATGAAGGTCCTGATCAGAGATATGAATGGAAAGTACTCCCTCAAGGGATGGCTAACAGCCCAACTATGTGTCAAATTTATGTTAACAAAGTAATCCAGCCACTTAGAAATCAAAATCCTGAACTACAAATATTTCACTATATGGATGATGTATTATTAGCACACAAAGATAAAAACACATTGCTAGAATGTTATGCCACACTTACAAACTTATTAAAAAATTATAATCTAGAGATAGCAATAGATAAAGTACAATTAAATTTTCCAATTAATTATTTAGGAGTTCTATTATCCTCAACCATGGTCTGTCCACCAAAAATTCAAATACGAGTAAATCAACTCAAATCACTTAATGACTTTCAAAAGTTATTAGGAGACATAAATTGGATAATGCCTTATTTAGGTATACCAACAGGAGAGTTGGGACCTTTATTTGATATCCTAAAAGGTCCATCAGATCCAAATTCACCCCGAATGTTAACGCCTGAAGCAAGAAAGGCATTAAAAATCATTGAAACATATATGGAAACTATGCATTTGGATAGAATTGATATAAGTTTGCCTTTATTATTTATTGTACTACCAACAAAAAATATTCCTACAGGAGTATTTTGGCAAGAAGGTCCATTATTATGGATACATTTATCTTATTCTCCTAACACTATTCTTACTAGGTATCCTGAGGCTGTAGGACAATTAATACTCAAAGGAATAAAAGCGGCAAAGGGAGTGTTTGGAATTTCTCCCAATAAAATTATTACTCCATATACTATGAATCAAATTGATGAGTTAGCTAATGAGTTAAATACTTGGGCAATAATCATGTGCAAATCTAATGTTTCATTTGATAACCACTTACCATCTAATCCTTTATTGTCTTTTTGGTCATTGCATCC